GGTGGTGCCCTCGTTGGTAATAAGGAAGACAGGAGGAGAGGGCTTTGGGGGAAAAAATGGGTTTAGTTTGAAACGTGTTGAGTTTATGTCTCTGAAACATTTAGTTTGAGATATCCAATGGGCAGATGGAGATGTGAGACAGGTCAGGAGAGAGATTGGGGCTAGATCAATAGATCTGAGAATTATCTGTATAAGAAATGATAATTGAATCCATGACAACTGATGAGATCATCAAGTGAAATAGTATAGAGAAAGAAGAGAAAGGGCCTTGGGGGACACCAACAGTCATTGGGCATGACGTCGATGTATATCCAACAAAGGAGACTTGAGAAGGAGCAGTCCCACAGGTAGGAGAACTGGGAGAGAACAGTGTCATGAAAATCTAGAGAGAATAAAGTGTCAAGAAGAGGGTGATGGGTAGTATTAAAGACTGCAAGGAGACAATAGATAAGTCTCCTTTCACTCCTATTTCTTGCCTCTGTATTTTCTGAACTCTTCATCTCTTTCTTCTTTCTGTCCAGGCAGTCTGTAGTGTAGTCCAGTAACAATGTGTGTTGCTCCTTTATCTTCATCTACCTGGATTTTCTCACAAGTAAATCTTCTTAACACGTCATGTATTCAGCCTCCTCCCTCCACCTCCCACCTCTTTACTTATCCTATTGCTTTTAAATAAGTAACCCTCTCAGAACCATGTGTTAGTCTCACACCACCGAGTCTTAGTGATATCCCAAGGGATCAATTTTGCCTGCTTGTGCTAGGATCTCTAAGTCACCTTGATTATTAAAAATACACGGTGCATTTGTGCATTGATAACTGAGGCTTTGAGATTTCTGACCCCAGTTCTTAAATTTTGACTTTTGTGAACTTAACGGCATCTCTGCTGATGTACTTTCTTCACTGTAACTATTCTCTGTGGTGTCAGCTTGGTGGATATACATGGGTGTTTTCCTCCTTCTCTACTTTTTGTTTTAAGGCCCTTTTGATCACAATTGCAAAATTTCAGTCAAATACATTCATCCCAGCCCTTAATAGCTACCCCTCGTCCCTGGCTAAGAGTCTGTCGTTCCTGTATTTTCCAGACGTCTAAATCCCATTCTCATCCACTGTCTTCCTGACCAGCTGTTCATTTCCCAAATCATCTGTAGCTCTGGTCTTTGATCAACAGTGCTAATGAAAATACCACCTGTGCCCCCGAGGTCTGCAAATCTTTGCCCAGAATTTGATAATCTTTAGCCTTGCTTTCTAGATTCCTTCTGACGGTATTATTTGTACACACATGATTCATCAGGATTGGGTAGCAGTCATCAAGATTGACTAGTCTTGGGAGATCTCTGCCAGGCCTTGTGTTCATGATGCAGAACAGCAGACTGGAGCTCTCCTGGTGCCTCAAAGGAAGGCATCACCTGCCATTACTACTTACCTCTTTTGCCTCTGACCCTTCCAGGCTTATCTCTTACTTGCTGTGAAGTTGGAAATGTAAACTTTCTGACTTTATTCTCCCAAATTACGGTCTTGTCAGTGCTCTTGAGATAATGGCAGCAAGTCAAACAGCTGCAATTTTAAGGCTATAGGTGTTTCAGAAGGGCTTCAATGGCATGCTTAATTTACAGCAAAACTACAAAAAAATTATGAAGAATTGTCATGGGAAACATAGTAATTGGTCATAAAACAGAGATTCAGTAAAATTCTAAGAATTTAGCTTCCTCTCTTTTAAAATTTGGTAAATAGTTTAGTCTGTCCCCCTCTCTCCCAGGCTTTTCTGAATATTTCAATCCAAGAATTCAGGTCAGAGAGTGTTTATTGAGTTTTACTTGCTGTGTGCAAGGCATGGTGCTCCATGCTTATAATATTAAGGCTAGACAAAACCAGTCCGTGCCCAAAAGAAATGTATATGGGCGGCAGGGGGCATTGCATAAACTTGAAAAGGGGAATCCAGCATGCATGTAGATAAGTAAATATATGATCATTTGAGAAGAAGAGCACTGACACCACAGGGGAACAGAAGCACAGAGGCTTGTCCTCTGGGAGCCACCTACCCCCCCCTTCCCATGGGGGGACGCAATGTGTCCGCAGCAAAGGCGAGTCTAAGACACAATGCAATGGGACAAGCTGGAATAACATGGATGCTAATGACGTTATTCATAAGGAAATGCATTCTTTTAGTCTTTGTTCATCATCTCATCTTCCGAAGGCTGGTCCCTCACCTGGAGAGCAGCTGTTACCAGTTGCTTAGAGGGCTCCCCCTTCAGTGCACTTATTTTTTCTCCTTGTTACTGTGCTGATACAGGTGTTTGTGTGTGCAGGTGTGCACATGCACTAGGGCCTTTTTCTATAGTAAATTCACTGGTCACAGACTGATTAATGCTTGGTACCAAACCTCAAAGGTTGTTGGTAAGCATTTGCAAGCAGGGCCAGGACTTTTCGTCACAACAGGGACACCAAATCAAAGCTTCATTCTCTTCTGTTCTGTGCTTCTTTCCAGGCCTGTGTCCATCATGGATTTATGTCTTCTCACCATAAATGGCCTGCTTCCCCTTGTCCTGTTTCTGGAAGGCATAGTGCAGGGTTAAAGAAGCAGGTGGTTGAGGGGCCAGTGATTTGCTTGTAAGAAGGAGTTAAACAATTTCCTTCTTGAAAGTTTTCCTTAATAGGATGAAACGATATTCTTTCACCATTCTGAATAAACCAAGTTTTCTTCACCTGTAACGAGCCAGGCATGAGGCTCCTGGACATGGCGGGCTTCCTCAGGAGCTAAGAAGAGGGTTCCTTAAAGAAGGGTTTGTCCAGCAAGAAGCAAACTGAAGATACTCATTTGGGGAGGTGCCTCTGGCAGGAATGGGACATTCCTGTGCTAGTTTCCTTAGCTTAACTTTGAGTGGGGATGAGGTAATGTGGTGGGCTTGAATCCTGCCTCAGGCACTTAATTAACTGTGTAAGTCACTCAATCTCTCTCCCTCAGTTTCCTTATCTATAAAATGGGGATATTATCTTCCTTATCCCTGGATATCTTATCTCCCACGGTTATTATGAGGATTAAATAAGATTTGTTAAGTGCTTTGCAAACTTTATTTTATTTTGGCTAGGGGATGTGGTTAAGTGACTTGCCCAGGTTCACACAGCTATTAAGTGTCAAGTGTCTGAGGCCAAATTTGAACTCAGGTCTTCAAGACTGACTTCAAGGCTGGTGGTCTATCCACTGCGCCACCTAGCTGCCCCTGCAAACTTTAATGCATTGTAGAAAGGTTAGCTATTATTATTATTGAATGATGAAGATGATGTTTTGTAGCATCTGTGACTTGATTCTTTTAAAATCACTAAGCCAGCATTTCACTTAACAGGATTTGAGGAGCTCCAAATCCACCTTATCTCTTGAAAGAATATATAGGACTAGAGAAAGTCTAGGTCAGGATATAGGAAAATGGGTGGAGAATGCTAAGGATTTAAAAGATCTAAAAGGCAAGGAGCAACTCCCCCTCTTTTTGGTTGGGGACCAAAAGACTGGTCGCCACAGAATATTGAGAGGCTGGAGAGATTTCTTAGCTTCACTGGCTATGAGGAATGACAGGTAGGAGAGCATAAATAAGCCTAGTGAGAAATGATCCCGGATGGGGGAGAATTTACACATCACCTCTCTAGAAAACTTCATCTTTCTAAGTTAGAATGGGAGAACATTGGTCACATCTGTCGATGCCTGGCCTTTTTTTTTTTATTAGGTGCTATTTTGACATATGAGCTACTTTAGAATGATATTATATAAAGAAAAACTGTTCTCTCTGACTCTGAAGCCAGATCCTCCAGAACTTGGGTACGCGTGCAGCATAGAGGAAAGAACAGTGACAGGAGCTGGGAGATTCAAATCCTAGTCCCAACTCTGTTTCAAACTCACTATGACTTTGGTAAAGTCACTCCACCTAACTCTTCCTCAGTTTCCTCTTATGTAAAATGAGGAAATTGGACTAATGTATTACTAAGGCCCTTTCATATCTGAAAAAATTCTCTGAATCCTGGAGCCAAATCTGGGTTCCAGTTTCAGCTCTGACCTTTACCTTATGGTGTGACCATGGGCAAGTTTTCTAACCTCTCCACACCTCAGTTTTGTCATCTGTAAATGGGCATGATAGTCTCTCCATGTGTTTCCACACCGGATCAAGTTTTATGTTAGAATCAAATGAGAGAATGGATGTGAAGGCACTTCTTAGGCCGTGTTTTGTGTGCTTAGGGCTTTGTTCTTCTTCCACTACATAAAGCAATTTCTTATCCAAAGGAAGATGCAAACTAGATTTTTCTGAGTGCCCTGAAACACAAATTAGCTATTGGAATTAAGGATTCACGCCCCCAGCACCCCGCCATATAGCCTGTCTTTATTTGTCTTTCTAGCTACTACAGTTTGATTTGAACCAGTTGGAACTGAAACTTTAATCAGTTTCCTGCCCTCTGGTGTAAAACTTTTCTTTTTTGGTTTTTAACAACAGTGATAAATTAGAGACAGTGGACTCCCCAGGTAGAGGTTTGAGTCCTGCTCAGTGATTGGCCACTCATAGGAAGAGCTGCATCTGTACATCACACAGAAATATCCTGATTATCCTGATTTATTTGGTGCTTGTCTGCTAGTGGTATGAGCTGGACTCTGTACAAATCAAGTGTCTGCCCTCGAAGGACTTAGTACAAAAGAGTCACACACCTCTTAACATCGCCTTTCTGGTAGCACTGACAGCTCTGTAGGGCCACTTCAGAAATCTAGCTATCTTATCATCCTCCTTTGACTGTTGCTAGTTCTTGGTTACTAGGAGGCAGCATTTCGGTGATACTGTAGCCAATGTACTTTAAGTACTTTTTGTATTTTGATATAAGAAAAAGTACAACTGCATTCTGTTTTCTCATGGGGCACTGGGGATAGAGGTGGTGAGTAGAGGGGCCAAAGTTGATTTTGGACATATCTGGGTACGTATGTTTGTGATTCTTTTTAAGTGGATTAAGGGCTGGATTGTAATGTCTTCCAGGCCAGAGAAGAAGACAAGAACCAGGATGGGAAAATGGATGTGTTACATTTCAGATTGGAGCTTCCACTGAAGCCTACTGAGCATGTCCTTGGGGTCCAGCTTATTCTGACCTTTTCTTACCAGCTGACTGTAAGTGACTTTCAAGCCTTGGCCTCGGGGAGGGAGGGGTGAGTCTTAGGGAATCCCATCCCTGCTGCATTTCCTACTTCAGCCCCACCCTCTGTAGAGCAGAGAAAAAAAAAGTCTGTGGTTGGAGGGACCAGGGCCTCTTTCCGCCTTTTACTAGAACCTTGGCTGTTCTGAGCTTCTTTTCTGGTCTAGTTTGGGCTTTAATGAACTTGTCCCATTTGGTTCTGTAGATCAGACCTTCTTAAACTATGGGTCAGGACCCCATATGGGCAACAATAAAAAGTTTCTGAATGCACAATGACCAAAAATTAATTAAGAATCCAATGCGTAATGAATCCAAGGTGTTTCTAGCAGTGCTGGCCCGTGTTGCATTCATTGCGCAACTTCACTGCAGCCCTGCTTCTGAACACGCAGCACGCGCACTTTGCACTGCGTGTGCCCTCAAGACACACAATGGCTAACAAACCCTACCAAAAAAAAGGTTTAAGAAGCCCTGCCGGATCATCTGAGCTGGGAACATTCATTGGCCAAGTGCTTCTGTAGGAAGAGGAACAGAGCAGCCAGTGGTCACTGGCTTCTAGAACTCGAGCCCTTGAAGATTCGGCCACGGCTTAGTTGTCTCTCATAAATCGTTCTTTCAGAGGATGTCAAGATTTGTGATGCAGAGCATGGCTTTTCTCCAGTCATCCTTCCCTATCCCAGGTGCCCAAGTATGTGTCAATGGAGACCTGAGGCTGCAACAGAGGCAGCCTTTGAAATATCGTGGGCTAGATAACAGATACAATGTAAGCGCTTTCTCTTTCTTTCTGAGTTCTGCTGTCTTTGTTAGTTACTGTTTACTGAGAAAATGAATGTTGCAGATATTTTCCTTTGGGCGACAGGGGGCAGCCTGGAATACTCACCAGCAATTGCAGTGTATAGTATGAATAGACAAGGGGGTAGAGGGGTGCAGCAGGACACGTGTGCACTACCGTAAAAGCTGGATGCATTCAGAGTGATGCTGAAATGTTGAAGAGAAATTATAGCTAATGAAGGTCAGGAAGGACAAGTGTAGGGAGACTTATTTAGGCACCTCAAGCCAGGCAGCAGTGACACTGGATGTGGAGAAACTCGAGGTCATTGTGGACCACAAGCTGAATATGGGTAAACAGCATCTAATCATAGTTTTTAAAAGCTAAGTTGGTCCAGACTATATATCGCAGGACTGACTGTAACATGACATGGCAGTGAAGTCAAGTGATCCTTTCCCCAGCATGATCCTCAGCATGATATTGTCTGCCTGTGGAAGACAGTGTAGCACAGTGGGGAGAGCATTGGCCTGGGCATCAACAGACCCGCCTTCCAATCTTGTTCTGCCCCTGGCTGCTTGTGTAACCTTGGGCAAGTGTTATCTAACATCTAGCCTGCAAGGGTTTTTTAAATTTGCATTTACCTTTAGCAGAATACAATTTTCCAGTTTGAAAATAGGAAAAAGCAAATACTCCCACGGGTATTCTAAGCAACAATGTCTCATGGCTGCCTCAGCTTCCCTGAAAATGAAGCCCTTCCCCTTCCCCACCCTTTGTGTGCTCTGGGCCCTGGAGGGGGTTGGTCAATGAGGTGTTACAGGTACTGGCTGGAGGAGGGCAGCGTGTACACTCAGCCTGAAAACAATTCTGGGACGTGGGATGGGGGAACCCTCCCATGGGGAGAGAGACAGCCTCATAAACTGTGCAAGGCCTGTTCCAGACCCAGTCACCAGCACTGTGGACTGCACATTCTGAATCTTTAAAATGAGGGGATTAGACTAGATACTTTTTGAGGTCCTTGCCAGCTCAGAAATTCTATGTTCAATTATTAGAAAGTTTTGACCTTTTCATTTTAAAGGTGATATGAAGAAATTGGGAAGTGTCCAGGAAAGAGCAAGAAAAATGAGAAGGATCTGGGAAATAAATATATTAAGAAAAGTTAAGGAATTGATTTTGTTTAGAGAGGCATTACAAGGGGCAGCTAGATGGTGCAGTAAATAGAGCACCGGCCCTGGAGTCAGGAGACCTGAGTTCAAATCCAGTCTCAGACTAGACACTTGACACTTACCAGCTGTGTGACCCTGGGCGAGTCACTTAACCCCGATTACCTCACCCTTCCCCCCTCCAAAAAAATAAGAAAAGATAGAGAGGCATTACAAGAAGTGAGATGGATCAGTGGGTAGGTTACTGAGGTTGGGTTCAGAAAAACTTGACCTTCTCTCCTACCTTACTCATTTTCTAGCCTGGGCAAGGCACCCTCTTGGGCCTCACTTTCCCTCTCTGTAAAAAGACAGAATTGGACTTGTTGATTTCTAAGACTCCTTGCAGCTAAAATCTGTTATCCCGTGATTTAAAGTAGATCAGTAGAGCAGCCGATCAGTTTTTTTCTTGTCTCAGGAAAGAAAAGACTGAAAGAAAGGGGGTGTAAGCGATAGTAAGAGTTCATTTAAACGAAAAACTTCTTGACGGTAAGCGTAATTAAACTCTCTAGTAGGCCATGATGGGCCAGTGTAGAATCTCCATCATTGGAGGCCTTCCAAAATAGGGTGGCCAGACACGTGTTGTGAGAGAGTGTATATGACTCCCGACCCCTTTCAGTTCAAGGGTTTCATGTTTCTTCCAGAATGAAGAGACCTCAGTCAGGGAGTTTTGGCTTTCTAGCTAGATTTCATCCTTAGAATATGCAATAAGAATGAAGAGAAAGAAAGTCCTCAGCCTACCACAAAGAATGAGCTGTATATTAGACATCATTGTTTCATACCAACCAGGAGCCACTCTCTGTCACTTAAAGCCTAGAGAAGGAGAAGGGAAAAGGGGAGAAGGTTGGGGACAAAGATTGGCACTCATATTTACATCACCCGTTGTATCACAGGTATCAGTGATCAATGGGACAAGCATTTTTGCAAGTGACTATAGATTCAAGAAAATTGTTGCTGCATACCATGAAAGGAATGGTGAGTCATGAGTGTCGTTCCAGGGTTTTGGAAAGGGGTGGCACCCTTCAAAGGGGTTTGTTCACAGGTCAAGAGGAAAATGACTGTATGGATTCTGGTAGAGATGAGTGTAGGGCAGCTGGAGGGGGCAGGCCCAGAGATCACAAACCAGGCACTTGTTTTCCTCCCCTTTCTCTTCTTCCTAGCCTGATCTCTGAGTTGTCACCGCAGCTCCACGATCAATGGTTCACTTGGGTTCATGATCATAAGTCCCTGTGTCTATTTGATTACTCCCTTTAAATGTTTTTATTCATTTAGCAAGCAGTTCTCTGCCACCTGCTATGTTCGAGGCACTGGGTTAGATAGAGAGAATGATATAAAGTGAGTTGGATGTATTTCCTGTTCTGAAGGTGTTTAGTCAGTCAGTTAATCAGCATTTATTAAGTACCTACACTGTGCTAAACACTTGGGGTACAAAGAAAGGCAAAAAAAACCCCAGAAACCAAACCAGTTCCTGCCCTTTGGGAACTTACATTTTAGTAGAGGAAACAGTATGTAAAAATAACTGTGTGTGTGTGTGTGTGTGTGTGTGTGTGTGTATAGTTATATATACATATATTGATACAGATATTTATGTATGTGTATATATTTATACATTTGTAGATACACGTATATAGTATAAACAGAGAAAATAAAAGGCGATCTGAAAAGAGAGGGCACTTACCAGCTGAGGGGCCTGGCCGACAGAAGAAGATGGGATTTGAGCTGAGCCTTAAAGGAAGCCAAGGGAACAGGCATGGGTCAAGAGGAAGAGCACTGCAGGCATGAGGAAGGGCCTAGGCAAATGCTCGGGATGGGGAGGTAAAAGATAGGCATGAAAAGCAGCAGGGAGGCAGTGCTGCTGAACTGCCGAGTGTGTGGAGAGGAGCAGAGGATGAAATGATGAGAAAGCCAAGAAAGAGTCGGGTGGGGAAGGGCTCCAGGCAAGTCTACAACTGGAAGACAAGGCCACAGTGTTTTGAGTACATGAGAAAGTAATGTGAGGTTGCCGTCCATTGGCACCATGTGTATCTCGGATGTGTTTGCCTTTCTTGGTATTCCCGGTACTTTGCACATGTAGTAGGGGCTTAATACATGCTGCTTGACTTACTGACTGACTGATAAAACACTGCAGGAGTTCAAAAGAGGGACACATCATTTTGGGAGTATCAGGAAAGACTTCAAGGAGGAACTGGTGAACGTCCTCTTGAAGGATGGATAAGATTTCCACAGATAAAGTTCAGGGGTTTTGGTTCTAAGCACAGGGAACAGCAGGAGAGGGAAAATCAAGGGATGTAATTAGGGAGAGGTACATAATCCAATTTGGCAGGAATATATATATGTAGAGTATGTGGAGGGGAATCGTGTAAGCAAAGGCTGGAGAGATTGGCCGCAGCCAGCTCGTAGAGGGCCTCGGATCCCAGGGGATGGCGTCTGGCCTCTGTTGGATAGGCAGTGAGGGGCAATGGGAGGCTTTTGATCAGGGGTGTGTGATGTGTGCTGGGCTGTGTATGAGGAAGCTTTCACATAGTGGGCACCTAATTAAGTGTATTGAATAAAAGCGAGGGGAGAGATGGGAGGCTATTGAAGTAATCTAAGTAAGGTAATGAGGTCCTGAACTAGGGCGATATCAAACAGGAAGGGAAAAGAGGGAACGGCCATGAAATATTGTATCGAGGTAGACTAAACAGGCTGTGAGGGTTGCTTGGATCAGAGAGGGAAGGGAGGGAGGAGCAGATGAAGACCAGGGAGAGATCAGGCAGGCTCAAGTGACGAGGAGAGACTGGGAGGGCCAGCACAGGAGGGCGGAAATTGAGGAGGAGCCATACATTGTGGAGGTGGGCAGTGGGAATCAAGACTTCAGTTTGGTTTTATAGGTATGGTGGACCTTGAGCATTCTGAATGCTCCTAGAACTTTTATATGAAATAAAGGAAATAGGATCTGCTCTTTGTATTTCACAGATGGATAAAGGGAGCATAAGATACTCACTTAGGATCTTCTAGCATTAATAGCACAAATGGAATAATGTAAAGCCTCTCCACTATGGCAGGACTTCAAGATGTTGTCATTTGTTAAAGAGGATGGGCTTGTGGGACCATTCCTTTTTGTTTAGCTCAGCATATGGAGCCTTACTGAGGGGCTGATGTTTTTTCCAGTGGTGTTTCTGCTGTTACCATAGCTTCCAGACACAGCAAGCACTATACCCAGACATGGAGTGAGTCCTCTATGAGAACAGATTTGGGCTTTGGGGGATATTCCATTTTAAAAGATGTCTTCCTGGTTTCATTGCAGTAACCACGTTCTTGGCTGATCCCAACCCTATTTGGCTGGTGGGAAGGGCTGCAGAAGCACCATTTATAGTTAATGCTGTCATTCGATATCCTGTCGAGGTCATTTCATATCCTTTCATGGTTACCTGATGAGATAACAGTGGTCAGCAGTGGCCATGACTTTCTATTTTGCTAATAAAGGAAAGGAAGAATACCTAAGTTATGTTAAGTGGGGGCAGATGCTCAAAATGATGGAATCCTGTTGAGCTGCATGTTTTTATAGTCCCACTAAAATAACTTGGTTTCTACCAACTTTTCCCTAAGGGGGGGAAAAAAAACTTAATTTCCTCATTTTTTCCCCCTTAGCAGTTAGTTTTTCAGGCCGGAATCATCCATATTTATATCTTGACCATCCCTGTCTTACCCTTTTAAATAAGGATATTTGAAGCATTTTGGCTATTTCCTGTTGGAACAAAGCCTTCGCTCTCTGTTATTGATGCGTGACATTTGGTGGTTCCTTAACAGTTAGTACCTATATGCCGGGTTTCTGGGAGACAATCAAGTTTGCCTGGATCCAGTACCTCAGTATTCTGCTTGTCTTCCTTTGGATATTTGAAAAAATCAAGATGTTTGTGTTTCAGAACCAAGTGGTGACCACAGTCCCTGTGAGATCAATGACCCTAGTAGAAAATTATAAGGAGCACTCATCTTAAGAAGCACCCCCTCTAAAAATGACTGGGCACAGCCATGCCTACCTCACTGTGAGCTTTAGAAAACTGTCTGTGCATGGCCCCTTTTTGGGAAGGAGCCCTACCACCATTTTATAGTAGTCACAAATATGAGGAAGAACCCAATGACATACCACTTTTGATATCTTGGAAAAGTGTTCCGTTTTTGATGACCCCAAGATCTTTCTTCTTTGGATCTGGAGGCCACACATTATGCATTTTTCCCTGTCCCAAACCGTTTCTCACCATACGGCTGTCCTATGATAGGCATGCTAATCATCAACACTCATTTTCTCATATACATTTGCCATTTAGAACTTTAACTAGAAGTAGGTGTCTGTATGTAAGAGATTTGGCGACAGGAATGGCACCTACCTGCCCTTGGTTCAGCAAGCAACAAAGTGCCTCTTATCGGCTAGTCTGACTACACTTTTATTCATGTCCTCTTCTGTTCACTGTTCTGTCTCTCTCTGAAACTTGGGATTGAAGACAGATACTTCAGCCCATCCTATGCCGAATCCATAAGGTGTTGCTGTGGGGACTAGTATTGTAACGACTGCTGCTTTTCTTTCCAGCTGATAATACAGCTTGCATACTGACTGACCACCACCCATCTCCTCTGGCCTTCCGTGAGAGGGTCTGATCTCAATTCAATGTAATGAAACATTTATCAAGGGCTTACTCAGCACAAGGCACAATACAGCACGGCCCTTGCTTTCAGGGAACTTGATATAACTGGAGAAGGACAAGTACACAAATAACTCTGATTCCAGTGAGAATATGATAAGTGCATAGGAGAAGTCCAGGCAACGTGCTAGGAGAAATTGGAGGAGGCAGAGAGAAGGGAAGCTTCCCTGAAGAAGACAGATTCTGAGTTGGGCCTGGAAGGAAGAGGGTCTTAGAGGTGTGGGATTTCAGGGGGATCTTGAGAGCACAGACCGGGACACAGAATAGGACAGAACAGCATAATAGAGTGGAAGGAGGGCTGGGTGGGAGTCAAAGACCTGGGTTCAAATCTAGACTTGACTAATCACTTAAGCTCTCTGTGCCTCAGTTTCCTCACTGATAAATGTGTCTCTGAGGAGAAAGTTGGACAGATGATCTCTAAGGTACCTTTCAGTTGTAAATTTTTGATCCTGTGAACCTCAGTCAAGGAGAAGCTTTTACCAGATGCAGGCGCTCTCTGGAATGTAGATTCTGCTTCTCAGTGATACAGTAAAAGACAGAAGAGTCATTGTTGTCAGCTCTGGTTGCCCATTGCTCAATGACGAGAAAAAAACGAACCTTCCCTGCAACATGTTGGCATGGGAACAGACAAGGAGGGAGACTGGGATATTGGACTGGCTGCTGCCCAGTCATCCTGAAGAGAACAGACAGACGCTTTGAAGGGTAAAGGAGTTTGCCTTGTGGCATTGACGAGATGTTTGGAGCTAGAAAGATGTCCTCCACTTGTAATCGATGCCCCCACTGTTCCCTGAGGCGCCTGCTTCGATGTGCTGCCTGTTCAACGCTTGACACTTTATGGGAAAGACTAAGGGCTCTCGTTTCAGAAGCCCATTTCTTCAGGATTCTGACCTGGCCAAGATGGCAGTCTGGGAAAACAAAGCTGTTTCCATTCATTCAAGCACAGAAACGCCTGGAAATTTGTTCTTTTCTTCCTTCTTTTAACATTTAGGAATGTAAAAATGCCTGAATAGATTTTCTTCACATACAATCTAAAAATAACTTCTGGGATTCAAACCAAATAAGAAAAAAAGGCAGTAAGACATTGGGAGAGGAAGGGGAGAGGAGGGGTGATGGTATTATGAACCTTACTTAAAATTTTGTTAAATACATTTAATGCAAAATTTGTATGTATGAAGAACTATGTGAAAATTCCTTAATTTTGTATCTTTATGATTAAAATGTTCAAAATATACATGTCAGGACTTGTGGAATATTTTTTTTTCTGCAGTCTTAAGTTCTGTGTAAACTTCCTTTGTTAAGGCATTCATTTCTCAGAGCCCATGGAGCTCATGCATTGGCTGTGTAGCGAGTCAGTCAGGTACAACCCCAAACAAACATGGGAGTTTTCAGCTAACTCCACTTGATGGCCTGTTCTAGCCACAGTCTGGAAAATTACAACTTTGTTTTGGAAGCATTCATTATTTAAAGACAGGAAGAACTCTGGTTCTGAAACATGGTAGACTTAGGGAGCTGAGAGGGGGGAAAATTAAATTGACCTCAGAAACTGTGTCTCCACAGATTTAAGGCCGTTGCTTGATAATCTAGGAAAAACTAAACCAACCAACCTGATTTTGTTTAAATTACCTCCCCAATTCAGAGGCATAGGTTCTGATCTAATTTACCTGAGTAGTTGCCTTCTTCTTAAGGCATATTAAGCACTTTCTGGTTACAAAGTACTTTACATACTTTATTTCATTTGTCCTTCACAACATCCTTTGTAAGGTAGGTAGTATAAACATGAACCCCTCTATTTTCAGGCTAGGGGAAGTGTCTTGCCCTAGTCATAACCCAGTCAGTAGTGCACTGGGTGGGATCCCAGTGTCTGCATCTCTGGCTCTTCCACTAATTATAGCATACTGCCTTCAACTTAGGCTGTGGCAGAGTCCTAAAAGTAGCATTCGGAGAGGAAGTGATTTCTTCTTACAAGAAACTCAAATTCTGCATCCTAGTAAGGTAGGGGAGGCTTGCCCTTTTATTCACAGGGAAAGGAATTTCCTTTATTGCACCAAATGCAAGGATGCATTTGGCACCAAGTTGCACTAAGCATTGTGCTAAGAAATGTGGGGAGGTAAGTGTGCCAAGACACAGTTCTTGGCACACTTGGAGCATGCGCCAGAGTGAGAGGTCAGTGACCTGAGCTGACTCCTTCAGCGGGAGCCAAAGCACCCAGGTACTCGGTAGCCTCCTTCATCCTTCTTGGCCCCGGCTAGCCTTGTTCTCCCAGGAGATACCTTTTGGGGACCAATCATGTTCGGTTTCCTGTTTTGTTTTACCTAATTTTTTCCCTGGAGAAATGAGGGAAGAGGCCTGCACAGAGTGAAGGGGGTGGGGGGTGGGGGGCTGGCAATGGAAATCACAAACAAGATATTTTTTTTTTCTTGACCCATTTGTTTTGTTTTGAAGTCTGGATTTGGATTTGGAAGGTAGCTCGTTATTCCAGGTCACCTTGGCTCAGGGCTTTGCAGTGACTGCTTTGGGTTCCTATTTCATTCACAAGGGCCTTTTGTGCTCTCCGGCTGACTTCATAACCTTTCCACAGCTCTCCCTTGCCTTGCTTAGTCCAAGGTGTGGTGTCGGGGTGATCACGCTCCCCCATACCCACCTGGTTCTCCCGGAGAATGGTAAAAGAGAACAATCCCTTTCACGTAATAGGCACTCAGTCTACTTGATGAATGAATGGAGAAGTGTCTAGAACCGGGAGGTGGCCTATTGAGCAATGCATTTGGTCTGAAAGACCTGGATTCAAATACTGCCAGTGCCAACAGAGGCAAGTGACTTAAATCTTTCTGTGTCTCAATTTCCTTATTTGTAAAATGAGGTGATTGCTAGCTCTAAAGTCCTGTGCTCCCGTCCCCGGGGGCACAGAATGTCGAAGGAGGAATGGGATTTCAGAACAATATCCAGGCCAACTCCCCCGTTTTACTGACAGAGGGTAACTGAATAGCAGAATTAGTCTAGAACGCATCTCTGGTTTTCAGTGAGGCAGCTCTACTGCACAGTGAATGGGAAGAAAGAAGTCCCAGATGACTCTCGTCCCCCTCTTCCTATTCTAGGAGAGGCCAAAAGCCTTGGATTTTGGTCCAGAAGGTCGGGCTCTGCTGTTTGCTGCAGTAGCCAAATCACTTTTCCTCTCTCGGCCTCAGTTTCTTCAAATACACAAATTTGGGCTGGGTGACCGCTAAAGTCCAGCATTGCCGTTCCTGGATCCTAAGAAGAGGGAGGTGGGCAGTCTACATTGTAGGGCAGAACAGCGCGTCGGCGCCCTCCTCCCCTCCCTGCCCGGGCTTGAGTACCACCCCCACCTCGCAGCGGGGAGCGGGGAGCGGGGAGCGGGGAGGGGTTCGGGCTTCCCTTCCCTCCTGCCCCCCTCCTCTCCCGGCCGGTCCTGCGGCCACGTCTGAAAACCACTCATTGTGGTAGCTCCGCAGCAGAGAAGGCGCCACGGCCCCCGGACGGGAGGGCAGGGCAGAGCAGAGCGGTGCAGCCCGGGGCTCGGGGCACCGCGAGCTGAAAGCAGGTATGGTGGGACCAGGCGGGCAGTGGAGGGGGGGGTCCTTCAGTCCTGGGGATAGGGGGCTGGGGGCGGAGGCGTCTCCCGGTACCGAGCACCCAGCACTCACCCAGCAAGAGCGGCAGCCTCCTTCCCCCAGGCGGCAGGGGCGGGGTTCTTTCGGCTCCCCGGGATCCCGCTGCGTCCCAGAATGCTGTCACCCTTCTTCCAGATTCAGTTCACTACGTATTAAGTGCCAGTCTCCAGCACCCTCATGTACCTGTTCCCCTGGATGCCTCTTCCTTCTCTCGACAGTCCCAGGACAGCCTCTTCTTATGTCTTTCGGCACCTCGCCCTCCTCACTTTACCCCCCCATAGTCCCAAGATCGCTTCTCTTCTTGTGCTTCTGGGATCTTCTGATGTCTCTTTCTGCTCCCCACTAAGTGCCAGGAGCTGTTTCCTCCATGGGCACCCAGGGTCATTTATTTCACTTCTCTCCTTGCTCCTCTTCATTCTCTAGACCTCCTCATTCCCTGTTCCACTAAGATCCTCTCCCTTCTCCCTGAATCCCCTCTGTCCCTAAGCTCTGGAGTTCTCACTTCTCGCCATACCTGGAGAATGCCCCAGTCTTTCCCTCCTAACCCCTTGTTCCTGGGATCCTTTTATCCTGGCCTCAGATGACAGGGCAGTGCCTTTGGACATCCTTGACTGAGGGGGAACGGGCAGACCCTGGGATGAGGTGAAGTGGGTAGCCATTCCGTAGCTATTTAAGAGCTGCCAATTTGGTGGATACGTAAAAGGAGAATTCTAGTATTTAACGACAGGACCCGCCACTGCCTTCTGGTTCTTAGAATTATAGAAGCATAGGGTGTTAGAACTGGCTTCCAAGTCAGTAGTTGAGTGCCTACTCTGAATCACACACTGGAAATACGAAGACAAATTACAGGAGTTATTTGCCCATGAGGACTTTACTTTCTACCGAAAGGAATCTTGGAAATCATTTACTACATCCCCATCATTTTACAGGTAGGAAAACTGAACCCCAGGAAAATGAGGTGAGTTTCTTCCCTGCCACCCTTCCCTCCCCCCAACACACTGCTAGTTAGTGGTATATACAGGACAAGAATCCAGGTCTGAGCCTATAAGAATAGGAGCTCTGTGCTAGGCACAGCTGGCAAGTCAGTGCAGAACCTTGTGAACTAGGAAAGGCATCTCCTTTAGAAGCCAGGATCCCTTTCCCACCAGCCTTTTGTGTGTGAGCTCATTCATAACTGGCACAAGGAGAGTGGGAATATCTGTGTAGGGGCCCCACTGCTCTATGTAGAAACGAGGAACTGGCCTGAACTGGTCAGGTTGCTAGGAGGGCAAATCACAGATGAGAACTAGCTCCAAGACTAGGCCAATTAGATTCCATCTAAGAGTATAACTGAGGCTGTTCCTATTTATACTATCTAGTAACAGTCTCCCCCCCCCCCAATCCCAAAGCAGGACGAGACTGTAACTTCTCCCTGGGCATGTTACATAGAGCCTAGGGACAGCCTAAGCTGTCACTAATGACAGAGAAGGTTGGTTTTCCCTCTTCTTGGGGCCATCTGGATGCCCAGAACTGAATACTGGTGCATTGTGCTGTATGCAAGTCCCATGTACTCTGTCTTTAGTTTGAAGCAGTGATATACATGGTAAGCACTTTCTCCCAGGTTGCTATGTTGGATGAGGAGAATCAACCCAGGAAGTGTGGAGTTAGACAGGAGAGAGCTCAAGAATTGTGGTCCTGGGAGGCTTATCAGTTCCTGAGAAAAGCTTACCTTGGGAGCTGTGTCATACAGAGCAGAGAGGATTGTGGATGCTTAAAAGAGCCTTTCT